GGTCCTATCCACCATTAAATCCATCTTTCCAAGCAGCTTCCATGTCTCCAGTGTCTTTTTCCCCACTTGGAGCAGAACCCAAAAGGACATTTCTTCCAACATCTCTACCAGGATGTTTCTTCAAAATGAGATCTATATGTTCCCGTGTAGAAAAAATAACAAAGGAACATAAGACCGGGGGATTTCTACAGCCATCTCCAATGGGCATGATCACAACTGAAAAGGAATGTGGAATTCTGGAGAGTAGTCCATAAACCTGGTCAATGTGAGGCCCAACAACATTTCAGAATTAAAATTGAGGAGAGCTAAGACAATAGCACATATCATCATTATACTGCTTCACTTGGCCTGTCTAGTTTAGTTTACTCAAAAAATTACAACAAAAGAACAGAGGAACATGGTAATGTGAAACCCCTCAGGAGATAGGTTGTAAGACATGCTGGATATGGAACAGCCAGATAAGAAACAGCAATAACCCACAGCTGTAAAATGGGCAGGAAAATGTGATCCGAAGGAACTCCTATAAGTGAGCCATTGAGAAACTTGTACTTTCAGATTTGCATGATTCTATTGATGTAAAGTAGCTTTACAATAAAGTAGAATTAGCTTACTTAGTTATATTTCCTGTCTGGTCTTCCTGGCATACAGTTAGACACCTGCAAACTAATACCCATACACCTGCAATAAATTCTGTTGAGGTCAATGGTATTATTTTGAGTATACATAAATAACATTCCACATTAAGATATGAAGTGCAAAGAGGGCTGAAAAACCTTATTTTTTATTATTATGTTTCCTGACTTTTGAATGAGGTATTATTCAAAGCTTGACAATGTGGGACCATTAAACATTATTATTTCCAGTTTAAGTAAACAAGGGAAGTTATACTATGAAAGGAAAACCGTACATAAATACAATACTAGCCACAGAGAAGTGAATAATACTAGCCACAGAGAAGTGAACAGGATATGGTTTAGTCAAGCAATAATAGATGAAAATAACAATCAACAAGAAAAATAAATATTCGCCTGAAAAAGTACTGCGATTATTTTTTCCAATTTTCCTTTCTTTAAGGATAATTTTTAAGTTGATTCACTGTTCACTAACCATTTCCAAATGTGTGTCTTCTAGGATAAAGACTTACAGAAAGTAAAATCTAGAAACTTCAGGGAAGTCAAACTTGAATAATCTATTTCTGTTTAATATTTCTGCTACCAAATACCATCATTTTTGTTCTTCCCTAGGTAATACTTTCTGTACTTGAATGGTTTGACAATCTGATCAGCATTGTTTTTAAACATTTTTGTTAGACCTTCCTTTCTTTGTGTAAACCTTTTTGATTTGGCCATTGTGAGAAGATGGACAATAGTAAAGCTAGCATAGAATTTAGCATGGCATGGCATGGCATGGCATGGCATGGCATGGCATGGCATAGTATGGCATAGCAAATTTAACTTAAGCATATTTCCGATCAAGGCCAAAGTCCCATTTGAGATAATGTTCAGAGTAGGGCTTTCCATAGTGTAATATAATGTGCTGAAGAGCAAGATACAATTAGAAAAAAGTATGAAGTGATAGCTCTCTTCTATATTGCATGTATCAAAGAGGCAGATCTGACACACAGAGAGAAATGACAATATTCCTCGTTATATCCAGTGCATATATTACACATCCATCATTAGAAATAAAAATGTTTCTCCAATTTTGTTTAATTAATGAAAAGTTTATTGTAATTTGAAATGGTTTTTATTTTATTTTCAATGAACCAATGATTTTCTATTTAATGAAGGACAGTGGGGAATCTATCAGGATCAAAGCTTATCAAGTGTGTTTTGTACAGATGTAGCTGGGATCAAACTAATTCAGGACATATTTTACAAGGAAAGGCAGGAAGCTCTTTTCTAACAGCTACCGATTTAAAATTGTCTATACTTCCAGATCAAGGCAGCAAAACACACTTCTCAGCTGTGTAAATTTACATTGTTAATAGCTACAGTGGGGAAAATCTACATAGAGAGAAAGTATTTTTTTTTCATTACTTCCCCTTATCTTTCTATTCTTTTCTTTCTACTTCTGTGATTTCACATCCTACCAAGTTAATATTAATGTGATTACTTTTATATTGTAATACTATTCTTCTACTCATTGACTTTTTAGGGATGTTTTTTTACCAATTAATCGGTTAAAGTTAGATATCTTTACACAATTTGAAAAAAACACTGTCATGTGTTAAGTATCTATAAATGAGATTTTGGAAAAATAATTCTTGTGAAATAAAAGTACAATAAAAGTACATTAGAGCTACGTTTCTCCTCTACTTCTTGTCACATGAATGATGCATTTTTAAACATTCTTCATAATTGCTCTTTTGAATGGTAGGCAAAATGGCTGTAGAGTTTAAGATTCAGATTTAGTTTCCAAAAGGCATTGGAAAAGATCTGTCTATTTTAAAATATTGCAAACAGGTGTCACATTCATGTTCCAACACTTTTTTTGAGATTTAATCCAAAGAATGCTAGCTTTAACGAAAATGAACCATTTTTAACCCTATTCTTTTAACCCCCAATTATTGTCAATTCATGGAATAATATAAAGAAATCATATACAGTAGTTTTATAGTTTTCTTCATTTTTTTTCAAGTAGTTACATTAAAGTTCTTTTTAAATTTCTGATTTATTTTTTACCATTAAAGGGCTGTGGCCGGTTGCATACCAACCAGTGTATTCTGCTTCAAAGCATGGAGTAATTGGATTTACACGTTCAGTGGCTGTGAGTATAACTAGTGTGGAAAAAAGTCTTGTTCTCTTCTTGATAAACCCCACATTTCCATTTCCTTCACACATACATGTACACACACACAATTCAGATTTGATTAACTGAAGATTTTCTGAGGTTCTCTTTAAAATAAAATCAATGTCAAAAAAAGCTTTTCCTTTGGCAGGAACATAATTCACAAATGATAGTTTTGTATGTGTGTGTGAGAGAGACAGCATATATATAAAAAAAATAGTGCAAAACCATAAGGATCAGTAGAATCCCACCAAATGTAGGATTTATAGTATGTCAACAGTCAGTGCTGGTGCAATAGTCCATTGCAAATAGGTAAAAAAAAGATTAAAACAGTGTTTATTTTGCTATGCTAAACATTTACAAGTACAATTACAATAGCTATGAAATAAAGAGATGTGTATTGCTTAGAAGAAAGGTAATGAAAGTACTGAACAAAATATTAAAGTGTAAATACATCATGCTGACAAGAAAGCTCATGGTTTCCTAGTTGTAATATGTGATTGTGGAAGATGGATCCTTAGACAGAATGAAAAAAGAAAAGTTGATGCCTTTGAATGTTTGGTATTATCCTGAATCACAAAGAAAACAAATCTTCAGTATGTGATGAAGTAAAACTAGACTGCATACTGGAATAATGAAGCTACGTTTTACCTATTTTATATGCATAAGGTAAAGGCATGGCTCAATGGAAATTGCATTACATTCACATTATGCTTGTACAAATTGAGGGAAATTGGGAAAGGGCCACAGAAGTTTATATGGTTCTATGTACTAATCTTTGAAGACAGAAATATGAGCTTAGAAACCGTTACTAATAGAAACTCCTGGAGAAATGAAGTCCTTTGGTTCAAAAGAATCAGGAGTGACTAAAACACTACACAGTAACAGCACAAACATATAAATGATAAAAAAATATTATGTTATTGTTGGTTGAACAAAACAGTATTTGTAAATTCAGTAGACAATATAAATTTGGGAACTGTTTTGTATTTTATGTAACATTATTTATGATTCTTATATTTCCTACTACAGCATAGTTTAACATTCCTTTGAATTAAAGATGCCAGATACAGAAACTGGTATTTTTTTCCATACAAAGAATGTTTTCTTTCCATGTCTCAACAATAGTATATAATATAGTTTCCTGTTTTGCAGCTGGCTGCTAGAGCAAAAAATTATGGTGTACGAATAAATGCTATCTGTCCTGGTTTTGTCGCCACACCAATTCTTCAGACTGCTTTCCAGGAAGAAAATATGGGTATATATTATTCATTCAAAGAAGAAATCAAAGAGAAGATGGAATTCTATGGCATTTTGAAGTGAGTAGAAATTATGTAGGTCTCCTTCATGTCTGTAGTTCAATGAGAATTATATACTTCCATAGTGCTGCCAAGAAGACTATGTAGACATGTCCATATGGTTGCAGGCTACCTACATTTGTATTTGTATTTGTATTTG